TGATCTATTGCATCGAATTGTGAAATTAGATGATGTTCATGGGATGAAGAATTAACTAGCTGAAGGTAAAAATGTGAATGTTAGAGATTAAAATTATTGGATCCCTCTGCATAGAGCTGCATGCAAGGGTCGGAGAGAAAAATATATTTGAGTCTTAGTTTTGTGCGACGTGGTTTTACATTTAGTATTATATTTGAGTCTTAGTTTTGTGCGACGTGGTTTTAAATTTAGTATTGTGTGTATATTTTTCTCAATTCATACGTAGGACGTATTTTACATTTTAAAATTACACATTCAATTTTTTAAAATAATATTATACTATCAACAGTTATTTTTGTTAATTTGCATGAAATTAACAATTCCGTCATGAAATGGAAGCAATATGATAATTTTTGTTAGTTATGAAAATTATTTGTTAATACAAGAAATTATATGACACTTTTAAAAATTAGAGGAAGGTTTTATAATTTAAACCCTAAATTCTCTCTCTCTATATGTATATATGATAAAAAAAAAATTTTAGATGGTAAAGCAAACACACACACTTTTTTACCCACGCTTGGATTTGAACCCCTTCCTTTTTCTTTAAAGATGATGACGTCATACCATTAAGTCAAAGACTCTTTGATTATACATGATAAAAAATTGGTCAAGGAATACAAAACAAGCTAAATTATTAAAAGTTGTCATACACAAGTCAATAGAATTTAATAGCATAGAACTATTTTTTTCACGTGGAATACAAAAAAGGCGGCTTGGCTCTTAGTAATTTACAATGTAATATCTGTCTTCAACTATTTTCAAAATTGATGAAGATTACAAATTCAAGATATTTTATGATTACATATTTGTGCACCAGAAGTGATGCAATATTTATGGATTAATCTTTTCCACTTTGGATAGACAGACGGTACAAGTCGTCTCCAAACGTGTTGCATGACTTAGACTAGTAACTTAATTTGGATCCTTGTCTATTGTGATTCATACAATAGTACCAAAAAAAAGGGGCTAGACTTCTTCTTCGTAGATGTACATCATTTGGCATATCTCAATCTTTGTCTATTATCTAATAATTTAATTTTAAATTTGATCAAATGGACATGGTACATCATGTGGCATTTCTCAATCTTTTCTGGATGATGATGGCGTAGCAAATTCTTAATATATATAAGCAAATTTAAAAAATTGTGGAGCAAAATTTAATGAAGGTTACATGAAAATGATTTATGAAAAATACTTCCCTTTGATGAATTTTTTTACTCTTATGGTGTGCATGAATGGAATGAAATGCAAGTGAGAATATAATGGAATAATAATAATTATTTTAGCATTTAGTTAGACCAATTTAAAATTTAGAATGGAATGAATTTAAAATAAATTATCCAAAATATCCCTCTTAGTGACAAATAAAATAAATTAACAACATAACATTCTTCTATTATTTTTTAAAAAGAAATGGTGGTGTTGGCAGAGAAGATGGCGGTGAAGGTGAAAGTGATAATGGTTTCCTTTGATAAAATTACGTGTATTGCACCATCATCTGCATATCACCCTTCCAATTGGAAAATTTTATCCTTCCATTTGGAAACTTTCACTCTTTCATTGTGATTGGCTACGACAACCTTTTCAACTGGAAATGGCCGATAGTTATGGTATAAATAGTACTTTTACAATATTTGAGTGCGACTTTGCAAATACTTGAGCTGAAAAAATCTTGAAGAGTATTCTTGTACTTGGGGATTGAGAGTGGGAATTTTCAGTAAAAGTTTAAGAATACAGATGTTCCATGCATACATGTCGTTTAAATATAATATCTAAGCCTATTCATTTATTGTAGCAAGGTAAAAGCAAGAGAATTAACAGAGATAATTTGAACTTGAAATGAATATATATGCGAATAAATAGTTCTTCACAATTACTGAGTGTTCAATTAAAGAAAAATAGGGTCATAAACATGGTAAAAAATGAGTTATTTAAATGCATGAATACAAACAAATGTACAAAAAGTTGACATCAAATGACATAAATTGAGGGGGTGGGGTGGCCATACAATGGAAATTATGGATGGTTTGATTAATAATGTCTTCATTCAGGATTAAAATCTACTTAATATCAAGAATATAATATGCAGCAATCTACATTCAGAATGACACGGTTTGGCCAACATTATATATATTTTGCAATCCCGGGTGCGTTAGATGTGAGAAAGCCCACCAAAACACGAACCCAAAGTAAATGGGCCGGAAAAAGCATAAGGAAAGGCCGTGACCCAGACGAACAAGTCATTGGCCCAACAGCATCATAGTATCAACCTGGTAATTGTTTACCACAAAGGCTCAACGAAAAGCCCTTGAGCGAGGATCGTCCAAGGTGGCGGTAATTGGATCGTTTTCCCACTAAAAAATAAACAACATCCACCTAAGAAATTGAAAGGTATTGATTTGGATGGAATAAAAAGTATGGAAATGCATTTAGATAACAGTCCCCTAATCTTTGAACGGTTCAGTGTAAATTGGGATATTCCCAATTTGAATAGAGGCTACTGACTTGATCTTGCATTGTACCCCTGGGGAAAGTGTCACTAACAAATTTTGAATAGAAAAAATTAGAGATGATGAACGATATTATCATGTTGTTCGTATTTAAATGGTCATAAAAATATACTAGTTAGTCAAATGTGATTTATTGTAGTGAATTTTGAAACAAAATCTTTAATGTATAATTGTCATATTGTTTAATTCCTTCCAAATGATCAAGTCATTCTCTAAAAAGTTGTAGATGATCGAGGTAAAATATGGGTTTTAATTCGACCCTTTTAGTGAAGCTGAGGTTTTGAAACTATACATGCATCTGTTTCTACTTTTAGAGGGGATGACATTTCTGTGCCAGAAATTTTTTCAAATTTGTGAGATAACAACTTCTCAATTCCCATGATTCATATGCATCATTCTCCAGTGGGAGATATTGCATGTATGACTTTGATCTACCGTGAATATAATGTCCCATGCCATCAAAAACACAGACTTCATTTTGGATTTTCTACGAAATTACATTCCATAATGTGAACTTGAGTTTGACGTGTTAAATCTATCATGAAATTATGAGATTGAGATATAATACGCAGATTTATCGGTTGAAATTTTAGCACTCATTTAGCTCTTGGCTTGCATAACATTACGATCAAGCTATTTCATTCTTTCCATCGGGTAGTGGATCCTTCAATATATTAGGCTTTGTTGTGCATCAAAACGATATTGTTCTAAAATTGCAATCTATGCATCTTTGGTTGCTTTGGACATGTTACACTGTTATATTTGAAAATAAATGAGTGTTGGTGTTGCATTGTCCGAAATTAAAGGGAAAAATTGCATATGCACCAAAACAAAGTATTGTATAGAGGGTGGTACGGGAGAGAATCTGAATCCCTCTTTGGGATTCAAAGCATTGTAAGCAGTCTGCTCGGGTTTTCTTTATCACACGACTTGGAGGAGGAGGAATGGCTTTAATTAAGTTGACTCAAAAAGACAAAGGCACATTTACACGTAGATTTGCATTAGCTGAGTATAAAGAAGGTTATAAAAGGAATCTACTTTTGATTTTTGTGAAGTCCTTTAAGACTTCACCAACAATCCGAGACTTGAAGACAACGTATTATTAAGTTTAAGTTAATGTGTTTATACATATTTTAATAATTAGACTAGCACTTTTTTATTTATTTTAATATTATTTTCGTTTCAAAATTTCTATTATTATACTATTGATTTTCTATTTTCTATTACAAAATTATTATATTGTTAGATTCTTATTCATCATTATATGTGAATTTTATTATTATTATTTTTTTCGAAAAGTCATTATGTGTGAAATTTTCAAAACAAAGGGTACCACTGCTTACTTTTAGTAATAATCTCCCCGGCTTCTAGTATCCTTGGATCTACACCATCCACGTGTCTGTATCCCTTAAAGTTGTGTTTATCAACCGTTAGATCTCTGCTTACTACTCTTACCCCATTTCAAAATTTTGTAAAAAGGAAGACTTTTGAATGATTGATGCGATGGGCTTTCTTTGTCAATGAAGCAAAATATTGTTTAAAAAATAATTATAGGGGTACAAGTTATTTAAAAATGAAGTTCACTTTGGTAAATATACTTTTTCTCATTGCAAGAAACATGAATTTGATATCATTTTAGTGACGATAACTCACACCATTTATTTTAAGAAGTAAAAGATATATTATTAATGCGTGCCAAATTTAATAAATAGAATATATAAACTTCGATTAAAAGGCATGATTTATTTGAGATAAATTTTAATTTTTGGTTTTATAATATCATAATGGTCTTTTAATTTGTCAAATTTGTGTCACCAAATAAAATCTTATAGTTTTTTAGGTTCTCTAATCATCACTAATTCAGAAAAAATCGGGGAAAAAAAAAACATCACTAATTAAACAAAAAAAAAAAAAAGTCAATTAGCTAAATACTAGTTGAACAAAAGAAAATTTATCAATGGGTGAGATGTCACCAACTTCGATATACTCTATCCTTCTATACTAGTTGTTATTATTTGAAAATAATAATTTTTAAAAGAATATGCATTGTTCCTTTTTTTTTTAAATTATTAACTTATCATTTTAAGCGTAGAAATGTGTATATTACTGAGTTGGATGATTTTTGAAAATTTTAAAGAGTAATAATGTAAAAATGGCATTTCTTTTGATTGAAATTTCAGATGTGACCATTATTTTTGAAGTTTTTGCCATAAACAAAGAAGACAGAGTACATTTAACAAAAAAAGAAAGGAAAAAAAGAAGACAGAGCTGCAACTGCAGGGAGAAGAAAAACAATCAAACATGCAGAAGAGAAAGGCAATGAATGATGTCAAAAGTTGCGACTGATCACAGTCTAGACTACTAGACTCGTACAGCAAGTCGTGATTCCTTCCTTTATGCATGTGCGCTTGAAAAAGTAGCGTCTTTATAACGGGTCAATCGCAGTATGTTTCCAAAGTATTGCAAACAAAATTGAAAATTTAGGTTTTCTTTTTCTGCGCTTTCTTTTAGACGAAGTTGTCGTGTTCATCTGTGGAAGCCATGGCCGATCTAAGAAATTGCAGGTCTAGTTTCGGCTCTCTCTCTCATTATTTTTGCCGATATACATAATATTGTGTGTGTAACTGTGTTTATATTTCTATGAGCCAACAATGGCCTCATCTTTGGTGGCTATTAGGCTATTGCAATCTATAAGCCAACCACGACCCGTCAATCAACAATTACTGCATTGGTGACCCAATTTGGTTGTGCCTCTAATTTAGCTCTGTTATAGGGGTCTGGTGGTGTCTCTAATTTATGGTCAACTATGATGGTCTCCAAATCACCAACCTGTGATGAAATCATGTTGGTTAGATTCAAACCCACATATGCTTATATGTATAAATTCATGGAGTGGAGAGAGAGAAAAATGGGTATATATATGTGTGTGTTTTGGTTTATATATGTGTATATCTATATATTGGTTTGTATGTCTAAACTTTATGATCGTTGTTCAGAGTGCGTTTATATATTTCGGATTATGGCTTTAGGTGCATGGCTTAGAGAGAACTATATTATAAAGTGATATACGTGTTTTTGCATAATAAGGTTAGAGGGAGAGAGTGATGATGGGAGGAGAGATGAGAGGAGGTGTCGGCGGTCGTTTTGTGGGTAGGTGTTTGAGAAGAAGAGGTTATTTTGAAAATTTCACTTTACTTAGAATGGATTAGTTGGTAATTTTACTATTCAAAAGAGTTAACTCATAGCTCAAAAGATATTTAAGTCTTGTCAAATCATTAAAACAGTGTCTTTTCAAATGAAACAAATGTTGGGGGTGTCATTATCTAATAATAGACTAACCTGTAGTCCCTCTGTCCTACTTTAGTAAATGGCAAATCCCAACAACGTGATTGTACTTTACTTTTTTATTTATTTTTATTTTTTATATTATGGTGTCCTCAGGTCTCTTATAATTATTCAATAATTCGTCATTGAACAGGGGCAATTCCCACCATTAATAAAAACTTTTTAACACCTCAATTAAATAAAGTGAATGCCTATTTTCATTTTTTACAATAATAAAACAAAGTTTTTAAATTAATAACGAATATTGTTCTTTTCTTATTTTTATTTCATGACAATAACGTTAGTAGTTAATGGGCAGAGGAAGGGCAGGTAAGGGTGAACAGTTCGAATAACCACTCCAACAACACACACTTGCAATAAGAATTTTGTTCAATCTTAATTATTTTGTGATTATTAAATAGTACTATCTTGTGGACGGATGTGCATGGACAGATGCGAGAAAATAACAAAGTAAGATTCTGACAAGTTACCATACACGACCCCACATCTATTGGTAGGATTAACTCCTACTCATACAATGCCTTGTGGATTACTAAGCCCAAAAACAAAACTTGGATTCAAATGGAACAATATTGTACAAGCTAAATGAAATTAGTGTCCGGAAACCAGCATAAATTTGTCAGTTAAATATGCCCCTCCATTTCATTAACAATGGATTAAATGATAAATTCTGATATAGAATTGCCACAAAAGAATCATTAGATCATTCAAATTAGAGCATAGAGCTAATATATATACTCCACATAATAAAAAATAAAATAAAAATTAATTTTTTAAAATATATAAAATAAAAATTAATTTTTTAAAAATATATAGATTGCAATTAGAATTGCAAATGGACAAAAGATGCATGAACTCAATCAAAACTTGCTGCATTGTGATTTGGTTGCTTTTCGAGAGAGTCCCCTGTTCAAATTTTGCAGTCTCCCCTCCCCTCTAAGAAGTAACTACTAAACCCCAACATTAATTATATTTATTTTACTAATTAATGAAAACCAGTTCAATCCAATGGCATTTTTTAAGTTGTTAAATATATTAATTAAATCTGAACAATTTGTCACTAATTTTATTATGCACCATTATTTAGTTTGGACTTCCATCAAACATAAATTTAGCATTTCAAAACCTTAAAATGCAATTCAAGTAGATCCATCTTTGTCGCGTGTTATGAGCATATTATTTGACCAAAGTTTTCTAGCCTAATTGGTAAGATACTGTTAATTTTTGGACGGCATGAGTTCAAATCTTGTCACCTCCTAACATTTACCTTTCAATAAAAAAAAAAAAAAAAAAACATATTATTTGGTGTAAAATCTTTAAAATGTTTTTCCAAAAAAAAAATTTCGAAGGCCGTGTTCGTTGTATAGTTTGAATCTCAAGTTCTTGTCCGATTATCTCCCCCCTCACCACACACGCAGACACACATATATGTAAAGGCCTTCTGGCCCTTCTCTCTCTACTCTATTACTGGTTGCGGAATCGAACCCGTTTTGATTACACCCATATGAATGAGCAATGCAGATGTGGCTTTAGCGTGGCAAGAGAGGTGGAGATCATCTGTGAGGCTGATTTTTCTCATATTGATAGAGTTTGCTCTGGAGCCGGTTCTTCGACGAACGTTCAAAGAGAATCTCCAGGTGTTGTGGCGGCCGGTTCAATCAAAGTAACCCTCCCTCCATCCGTCGAAGAATTGCTCCACACCATCTGCGTCAAACATTCACAACCACCTCCAGACATGCCTGTGAGGAAAGAGCTCTGTTCGCTCGGCGAAAAAGCCGCTCTTGACCTCCTCAGAACCATCTCTGGTTCCAAGGAGATTCGAACTCTCAATGGGTTCATTATTTTCATGGTCAGGAAGCACCGCAATGGCTCTTCTCAAGAAAGCGACTGTAGCTCTCCCCAGAAACAAAGTTCACCCAGTCCCTCAACTTCCAATCACCATTGTAAGCACTCCTCTCCTCCTCAAAATTTCATATGTTGATGTTGATTATTACTATATCTCTGAGAATGTTGGGTTTTAGGGTTTGCAGTTTGATTTTCATAGTGCACCCAGTAATCATCTCTATGGCTAATTAAAGATGAATTTCCGTAGCTTTTTATTAAATTTATCCAGAAAATTAGGGTTTAAAGAAAAACATTTCGTCCTTTATGCTCCTGTTTCTTAATAAAATTTCGTGGTTTGTGTTGTGTATTGGGCATTCTACATACACGTTTGTGCGAATTCTGCTTTCTGTTTTTTCTTAGATGTATAAAAACTTGTTCAACAGTGTCATTTTCAACTAAGTATTAGTTTTGGCACTTTTTGTGGACCCAGATGACTATAGTCCTCACTCACCAATCCCAAAGGATCTGACGTCCCCCTCTTCAAGATTAAACAGGGCAAACATGCAGCAAATAAGTGACCAATTATTGGCCCTTGGTGAACTTGAATTCAGGAAAGCGTTTCTGATTTTAAGTTATATTGGGAGGTAATTTTTATTTTTTTCAAATTAAAATTTGTGCTACATTACTAGTTTCAGGTTGTGAAAATTGTGTTGCTTTCACGTACAGGAACAGGCTGGAGAATGTTATGTCTGCCAATGACATTCTTAGACTGAAAGATATGCCAATGGGGCCTTTGGAGTCTAGAGTTTGGACTGACTATGGCAGGAAAAATTGTGAGGTGGTGGATCGAGTGAAGGTCAACTTCAAGTTTGAATATCATTTCTCTTGCAATGGTTCTATTCTCATTTTGATGCCTTTAAGTTGATAAATTGGCGCAAATGCGCCCGAGTCACTTAAATAACCCAAGAATCCCATCCCAGTTCGTTTATTGTTCTTTACTTTGATATATACTCATATGTCATGTTTGATACTTCTGGCTTAAAGTACGAGACTGCAAATATTTCCTATCAAATTTGGTTTCTTTTATTGATAAATTTTTCATAGTCATGCTTATCAACTACATCCATAATGTATTATTGAAAAATGTAGAAATCATTTAACAGGTCTTACCATTAAAAAAGAATATAGCGACTTTCTGTTTGAATTGGTTATAAATTTTAAAGGAAACCTAGATGACAGTGCACTGGTCAAAAGAATATATTATCTTTCTTAAATTGGCAACTGTACATTATGTTTTCTTGACATGTACACTCAGTGCTGCGTATAAGATCTGTGATCTAGTTATATGTCATGTACTCCATCTCAGAATTCTTTTCAATATTTCAAGTGAAGTAACATAATGCCAAATGTTATCTCTGTGAAATAAATTTTGTTCTCTGTTATATTTTTGGTTTACAAAATTGATGTATTCACATTTTTAATGTAAACTTCTTGGTTTCAATGGTTCACTAAATAGCAAAATATAACATAAGCTTATAACCCATCATATTGTGCCAAAAAAAAAAAAAAAAAAGGAAAGAAAAAGAAACTTAGTGGATTGACTTAAATGAGTCACGGGTTTGTTTTATGACATAAGACAGGTAATGCTGTCCGTAACATTGGTTTATTTAGTCATTAAAGAAGCATTCTGGTGTCAAATATGACTTTATTTTATTTTCTTGTTCATCTGCAGTATCTTGACTGGGATTCTAAAAAGACGTATCTCTATCACTGTCATGTTGATCCAGATGGAAGTTATAGTTTCAAGGTTTGTATGTCTGCTATATTGTTCATTCTTTCGAGAATTAGTAATTTATGTTTCTCTCTCCCCGCATACTCCAGACATTGTGTTGTTTTTGTGCTTATTGTGCGTCTCCAGCCATTGTTAGTTTGAATTAAATTGTCTTTATAATGATTTGTATGGCAATGGCTACTAAGGGAAGTTATCTTTTCTCCTCATTGACTGATGTGGATTCCACTATGGTATATTACTCATTTATTACGGAAGACATGTTGCTATTTAAGTTATGTTGTCATTCAAGCTGGGAGGTATTTTATGTTTTCAGAAATGCACATGCACACATACACAAACAGAGTTGGGGGTTGGGGGGATTTTTCTCTTTCACGAATCAGTTAGGAAGAGTGACATGGCCACATTGAGGGAAATGCTAGGGGATGAGGAAGACCAAAATTAGCATGGGTGGTGTTAGTAATAAAAGATATGAAATAATCATCCTCCAAGAATATAGTATCAATGCTTACCAATCCTTGAAGAATAAAATAAACCAATTGAAGAATAAAATCGCAACAGTAGAATTCCAAAGAATCAATAAATGATTTTCAAAATTACACGGTGGTGTGGTAGTTCGCTAAGGGAATATGGAGGGCTCCTAATATTCCGAAGTTGAGGATCGAGCTTTCATGAGGACAATTGAACTATCACCATTCCTACGCATACCAAGTTGCATCAAGTTTGAGAAGAAGAAGTTTATGACGGAACAAGTGTGAATAGGTTATACAGATCAAATGAGATTGTAATGAGTATTGAGTGGAGAAGAGAAAAAAATTTGTAATGATAGGAGGGAGACGTTGCCAGGAATAAGGAAAAAGAAGAAGATAGAAGTTGAGAATATGGAAAGTTTCACCAATTCCCACAATGACTAAATATATATTCAATAATTACGCTGGTGTAATGATAATGATAGAGGAGGATAAAAACGTGGAATGAGAGAGGAGGGGGGGGGGGGGGGGGGGGATAATTATAGCAATCATCTGGGCCCACTATTAAATCTATTTATTGGTCGGGGTTTAATAATAGAAGAATTTTTTCTTTTTATTTTTCTTTTTTATGGAAGTTATAATATAAGGAAATAAACAATTTTGGGGCCTTTCTATTGGCTGGGGCCTTAGGCGACCGCCTAAGTCGCCCAAGGCTCCAGCCGGCCCTAGGTCAAGCTTGAGTTTGGGACCTTTGAAGAATAAAATAAACCAATTGAAGAATAAAATCGCAACAGTAGAATTCCAAAGAATCAATAAATGATTTTCAAAATTACACGGTGGTGTGGTAGTTCGCTAAGGGAATATGGAGGGCTCCTAATATTCCGAAGTTGAGGATCGAGCTTTCATGAGGACAATTGAACTATCACCATTCCTACGCATACCAAGTTGCATCAAGTTTGAGAAGAAGAAGTTTATGACGGAACAAGTGTGAATAGGTTATACAGATCAAATGAGATTGTAATGAGTATTGAGTGGAGAAGAGAAAAAAATTTGTAATGATAGGAGGGAGACGTTGCCAGGAATAAGGAAAAAGAAGAAGATAGAAGTTGAGAATATGGAAAGTTTCACCAATTCCCACAATGACTAAATATATATTCAATAATTACGCTGGTGTAATGATAATGATAGAGGAGGATAAAAACGTGGAATGAGAGAGGAGGGGGGGGGGGGGGGGGGGGGGGATAATTATAGCAATCATCTGGGCCCACTATTAAATCTATTTATTGGTCGGGGTTTAATAATAGAAGAATTTTTTCTTTTTATTTTTCTTTTTTATGGAAGTTATAATATAAGGAAATAAACAATTTTGGGGCCTTTCTATTGGCTGGGGCCTTAGGCGACCGCCTAAGTCGCCCAAGGCTCCAGCCGGCCCTAGGTCAAGCTTGAGTTTGGGACCTTTGAGTCATAAAAATGTGCATGAATCAGCTCCAAGGTACCACTAACTGATCTTAAATGGCTCGGCTAATTTCTCTAACTAGATGATTCTTTAAAATGTTTAAGAACTATTTAACTACTATCTGCCTCAAACACTTGAAAGGTTATGACTTAATCCAACAAAATTATCAAGCTCTTACACTTTCGTTTACTTGTGCTTAGAGTGTTAATAGACTTGGATGAAGGGACAGATGCAAATGGGGATTCTTTAATCTATGACCTTGCTGAACCAGAGCTTTGATTCATGTTTGATTCACTGCAGTCTGAACACAAGCCATCAAGCATTTGTAAGCCATATATTTTGTGGTGTTATATGGGTGACACTAAGATTGTTATATCAGAGGGGGCTTGGGGGCTTGGGAAAGTTGAGTTCCTGACTATCGATAGCTAAGCCAACTAATTATTTTCTAATATTCAAAGTTATGTTTTTTTCCCCTTTTATTTTCTTAAATTGTTTAAGAAGCGGAATTTGATCTTTACATATACAGCAAGTAATATTGTGTTACAACCTTAATTTTCCAGACAAAATGTTGTTGTAGACACCTCAAAGCACGTTAAATTGTATTTCCAAATTAGATAGATAAGTAAGAAGTTGATAAATGATTTTATTTATTTCTTCTTAAAATCCAACTTTCCTAAAAGTCGTATCTTTTTTCAAAATAATACTAAAATCATATCTTTTTCAAACATTAATATTTACATTGCATGTAGTTGCCTGATATTTTGACAATAATATCTGTTAGTGATTTTTAGAACCAAGTATTAGGGATTAATTTTCTGTGTGATTGTGATTAAAATATTTTCAGCATGACTTGGGTTCATGCTTACCTCTTGATCTTCGGATCATATTTCTCTTTCGAAAATGATTCACTATTATTGAAACAACTGACAGTCACTCGTATATGCATCCAATATGACTTAATAGTTCCATACTACTTTCGATCTAATTGTTCAATATCCTCGTCAGTTATTCACTTGAGAGTTGAGAAGATAAATTGTTACTACTTTGGTTAGTTCCTAACGTCACAGACTGTTTCAACCTGCACATTATGTATTTATCATTTTATTTTTTGCGTTGATAATGCTTTTAACTACAAGCAATATCAACACGAAACAACTGAAAGTCACTTATTCTCTCATATGCATCCGATATGACTTAATTGTCCCATAGTACTTAGGCACGTACTGTTCAATGTCATTGCCTGTTCTTCATATGAGAAGATAAACTGTTGCTACTTTTGCTAGTTCCTAACATCAAATATAGACGGTTTCAACATGCACATTATGTATGTACTTAAAATTTAATTTTTCGTGTTGATATTGCTTTAACCTACAAGAAATTATAATGTGACTTTATCATTATTGCTTTCTTATTTTTATGGACTGTCACACCATTGGTTTTTATAATTCAGGGTCCGTATCTGAAACCAACAAGAACTCACTTGCAACGGGAATTAGGAGACGATAATGTATTGCTCGTGAAATTTGCGGAAGAATCCCAAAATTGTACAAAGTTTGCGATTGATTCTCCTAATTATAGTGCTCGGTTCAACAAGATTGGTGAAGATGGAATTTTTGTTGGCTTGAGGCGTTATCGTTTTTTCGGTGATTGTTTTCTTATTATGTTTGAAGTATTTAATTCTTCCGCCTTGCTTTCCTACAACTATAAATAGTAATTTTCAATTCTTAATTACCTTGAGACGTGACAGTTTTGAGGTAGGTTGCACAAAAAATGTTAGGTATATGAATCACATGTTGACAATGTCCTACTCAAAACCTTGGTTGTATTGTGCCAAAGTGTCATGAGTCATATGAATAGAAGAAACGTTGATGGATTTACAGGCATAAATTCACAAAGAACACGATGGTAAATCCACATGCTCAATCACATATCTAGAGCATAGGTTAATGAAATTAGAAAGACCTTAGATAACCTGATTTTGGTATTGGTGTGGCTGCGGCTCAATTTATGTTTAAACGTGTTTGTGAAAATTGGCTTTCAAAGTATTAGTTTTGAACAGGTTTTGGAATAGTGTTTGTGATGGAAAATGGTTTGTGTTGATTGACAGGTCAATCAAATAATTTTTTTGATAGGCCGTTCAATCAAAGGGCTCTCTAGTAGACTTTGATTGATAGGCGAATCATTCGAACTTTTCCGGGAATTTTTTATTATTGAACTACAGTAATCATCAATTGCCGTCTCAATCAATCAAGAGCTTCCCAGTAGATGTCGATTGATCGAGTCCCGCGAAAGTTTTTTTTTTTGAAAATAGATCATACCATATTTCTACAAGGATTCTGCTTACCAAAACATATGGGTTACCTATATTTGTTATATATGTGTGTTTATTGTCTAAGGTGTGGTTACAAGCCATTTAGGGAGAAAATCCTTGGGAGAGAAGTATATCAAATTGAGTGTTTGACAAAGAGAAGTATATCAAATTACCAAGGCAAATAAATTCAACTGATACTGAACAGAAATGAATAACCAAGGAGAAGCAAATTTTGTGGAGCAAAGTCTGTTGACTGGAGTGAATCAAGGGCCTGAAGGTTGAGTGTGAGTTAGATTACGGTCTATGTCAAAAGCTAACTAGGGTTTCTGTGATGTGGGTGTTGTCAGGGGCTTATTTGTTATTATTTATATAATGTTGGGGCTTATGTGTAATTTCTGAAACTTGTTATTATAAATAGAATGTGGTGGAAGGATGAATGTATTCTTTCATTTTCTCTCTCTTTCCTCATCTTTCTCTCATTTTCTCTCATCCGCTTTCTTTTCTTTTTCTTCTTCTTTATCACTCACTCTTGATTTGATTATATCTTAAAGTCAACATGGTATCAAATCATGAAGCTCTAGGTTTGTAGTTGAAACCCTAGGGCAAGTTTGTGTATACCCTAGTGGGTGTGAAGGGTTTTGAAGAGATTCCAAGATGGGATTTGTTTGCAAGGAAGTAGTGTTAATCACATCCACACGTACCGCGGATCCAACTCCACGGTGAGTTGGCTGGGGGTCACACGGGGCAACGCACCGCTGCTCGGGGTTCGGGGCGAGGGCTCGAAAAAAAAATATATTTTGGATCTGTTTTTTATCTATTGCAACCTCGATCGGTGGTTTTTTTTTGTGTTCGCGAGGTTCTGCAACGACGACTTTTTCTTCTTCGTTCGCGATTCTGGTATGGTCTACTTTATTGCTTTCTAGGGTTTGTGTGGTGACTGTGTGGTCGTTTTTTTATGTATCTCAGAAGACGGTAATCTCTTTAGTTGAAGTTTGTGTGTTAGAGGGGGTGTTCTCTACGTATTTTGTTGCTATTTTTGTTTCTGAAGATTGTATACCTAGAAACTGTTTGATAAAATGTTTGGCTCAGAGGTGACTTCATAAGAAGTTGGGTCTTCTCCTAGTTTGACTCCTATATTGGGAGGTTGCAGTGAACACCATCCAGGCCTTTGTATTACGATTGTTAGGCTAGATGAGACGAACTATATGGAGTGGGCTCAATCTGCTCGTATAGGATGATTGACCATATCGAAGGGACTATCACGTATCCCTCCAAGAGCGATCCTGAATTCAAAGAGTGGAGTGCAAATAATGCACTAGTTATGACGCGGTTGTTGCAAACAATGCAGCCACAGATCATCAAAGGGTTTCTGTTTGTGAAAACAACTAAAGAGCTATGGACGGCTGTGGAAGAGACGTATTCCTCGGTTGGTAATTTTGCAAAACTGTATGAACTCCAACAACAGATTTCAAGATTCAAGTAGGAAAACCAAATTCTTGCTACATATTACCACACTCTACGTGGTAAATGGGAAAAGTTAGATCACTACCAAGACTACATATACCTATGTGTGGAGCTGATGTTAAAGCATTTCGTGCTATGGTAGAAATGAATCGAATCTATGAGTTCTTGGGTGGTCTGCATCCGAGATACGAGCATGCCAGGGTATAAGTGTTAGGCAGATATCCAGCCCCTACTTCTGTTAGAGATGTGTTTTCGTATATCCAGGCTGAGGAGAGTAGAATGAAGGCTATGTCTGCACCTGTATACACTAAGCCTGAGCCAAAAGTACCATTGTTTGAGAGGTTTGCTATTGCCATACAACAATGGAACAAGACCAATCCTCCAAAAGAAGGGAAACAGGATGACAAAAGCAAGTTGAGGTGTGATCACTGTGGGCGTATGCGCCACACTAAGGAAACATGCTGGAATCTACACGGTCACCTTACTCCAGCTCCTGCTAATACGAATGCTAGGCCAAGGCCTGGTCCATTTCGATTGTGAGACTGCTTCTATTAGTTATGCCTCCTCAGGGCCACCTAGTTCTTTGTCCGGGGCTGAGCTTGATGCTCTCCGACATCTACTAGCACAACATTCCTCCGTTTCCACCTCTAACTTTGCTTAGATAGGTACCTCTCATTCGACACATTAGGTTTCCACATTATCTGGTGGGCCACCCTGGATCATTGATTCAGGAGCCACTGATCACATGACTGGTATGACATCTGATTTTTCTTCGTACAGTTTATGTCCTGGTAAGGATAAGGTTGGAGTGGTTGATGACACCTTCACCTCCATTGCGGGGAAGGGCACTATTTATGCATTTCCTAATCTTACCTTATCCTCTATTCTTCATGTCCCAAAGTTTACCAATACCTCCTTTCTGTCAGCCACATTACAAAAGGCTTGAATTGTAGTGTAACTTTTTTTATTCCATCTCACTGTGTGTTTCAGGATTTGGACATGGGGAGGATGATTGGAAGTGGATGTGAGGATAATGGCTTGTATTTGCTGAACACGAGGCCAACTTCTTATTATGTTGCAAATCAATTTATTGTTAGGAATAGTAATGTCAATAAAGATCTGTTAATGTGATGGCATAATAGACTAGTGTATTTACCTCTTCCTGTTTTGAAGCATGTGCTTCCCCAGTTTACTTCTGTTGAATCTTTTGAGTTAAATTGTGAAACATGCGTTCTTGCCAAACAATGTAGTGTTTCTTATCCTACTAGTATTAATAAAAATACAGCTCCTTTGGAGCTTGTTCATTCTGATGTGTGGGGTCTTGAATCTACTACTTCGTTACTTGATTTTCGTTACTTTGTTGTGTTTGTTGATGACTTTAGTCGATATACTTGTCTTTATCTTATGAAAATCAAAGATGAAGTTCATTCCATTTTTAAAACTTTCATAGGATGGTAAGTACTCAGTTTGGTTGTCCCTCAAAATCCTTCGATTTGATAATGGAGGAGAGTTTATGTATGGTGGTCTTGCCTCCTTTTTTGCTGATAACGGGATTGTCCATCAAACCTCTTGTGTCGATACATCACGACAGAATGGTGTAGCTGAAAGAAAAAACCGTCATATTACGGAGGTGACCCGTTCTCTTCTAATTGGGATGGGAGTGCCTAAAAGTTATTGGGCTAATGCAACCTTAACAAATATATACTCTATCAATCGCATGCCTTCTAAGGTTCTTGGCTATCAGTCCCCCTTCTTTGTCTTACACCATGACACTACCTTGTTTATTGTCCTTCCGAAAATGTTTGGTTGTGTTTCTTATGTTCACATTCATCATCGCAAGGACAAAATGAACCTAAGGCAATCCGATGTGTCTTTCTTGGATACTCGCCACTCAGAAAGGGTATCGGTGTTATAACCCTACCACTCGTCGTCGCTTTGGCTCCATGGATGTTACATTTTTTGAGTCTGTTCCTCTTTTTCAATTTTTTTTTTTTTTTTCTACTGCTTGGGATTCTCTACAGGGGGAGACTATTATACAGGTAGAGAATCCGTTGTCCATTCAGAGGGAATGCCCCCTTCCTTTGCCTGTCCCCATTCAAGGGGAGCTTCTTACTGAGGTGCCTATCTGTAGTCCTCTTAACACTAATGATTTGTAGCAGGGAAAGCAACCAATTGTCTACACTAGGAGGGGCAAAACAAGTTATTGACTCACCCGAGGACCAAGAAGTCTCCCTTGATCCAGGTAATTCCCAAGTTGACATTGATACTCCTTATTCTTTTCCCAATAGCATTCTTGTTGATCTTGATGCCCCCATTGCCTATCGCAAGGGTGTTCGTAGTTATACGAAGCATCCCATATCTCAGTTTGTATCTTATGATGCCTTATCTCTAACATATCGTGCTTTCACTTCGTGTATCTCCTCTGTATCTGTTCCTTCTAGTGTTTCAGATGCTCTCAGTCAAACTCCATGGAAAAAAGCTATGCTTGAAGAAATGAAGGCCTTTGAGAAGAATGGTACTTCGGATATTGTTCTATTACCTAGGGGTTAGAAATCAGTAGGCTGCAAATGGGTCTGCACAATAAAGTATCATGCAGACGGAACAATTGAGAGATATAAAGCTCAGTTAGTTGCAAAGGGCTTCACTTAGACCTATGGAATTGATTTTCTGGAAACATTTGCTCCAGTTGCCATGATGAACTCTATACGTGTTCTTCTTTCTTTGGCAGCTAATATGAATTGGCCCTTATTACATCAGTTGGATGTAAAGAATGCTTTCCTTCATGGTGATTTGGAGAAAGAGGTGAATATGACTATGCCACCAGGGTTTAAGCTTGCCAGTGGTCAAAATTTAGTGTCCAAGCTAAATAAAGCTTTGTATAGGTTAAAAACAGTCGCCACATGCTTGGTTTGAGTGGTTCGGCACTGCTGTGAAAAAAGTAGGGTACACATAGAATCAGACAGATCATATTATTTTCATCAAGAAGCACATGGGCTACACCACTGCCCTTATTGTATATGTTGGTTATATTGTTATCATTGGAAATAATCCAGAAGAGATTCGTCGAATGAAGTCATTTTGGGGGACAGAGTTCGAGGTTAAAGACCTCGGATCATTGAGATACTTTCTTGGCATCGAGATGTGTAGATCGAAGAAAAGGATGTTCATTTCTCAATGGAAGTATGTGTTAGATTTGTTGGCTGAAACAGGCAGGCTTAGAGTTAGACCTATTGATATTCCTGTGGAGCAGAACTATAGGCTTAATGATGTAGATGGAGACCCATTAGATGATATGGGAAGATTTCAGCGATTGGTTGGGAGACTGATTTACTTATCTTTCACGTGCCCGGATATTGCCTACGCTGTTAGTGTGATTAGTCAGTTTATGCATGCTCCACGTACACCTTACCTTGAGGCAGCTCATCATGTTTTTTGCTACCTCTAGGGTTCACCTGGTAAGGGGATATTGTTTGGCAGTCATGGCCACTTGCGTGTTGAAGCCTATACTGATGCTGATTAGGCAGGGTCTGTGACAGTTCGACGATCTACTTCAGGATATTGCACATTTGTTGGAGGTAATCTTGTTTTATGACGAAGCAAAAACAGTCTGTAGTAGCTAGATCTAGTGTAGAGGCTGAGTTCAGATCCATGACACATGGGTTTGTGAGTTGTTATGGCTACCTAGAATGTTGGGTGAGTTGGGTTATCCTGTTTGCGAGTCAATGAAGTTGTATTGTGACAGCAAGACTGATATTAGCATTGCCCACAGTCCAGTTCAACATGATAGGACAAAGCACATTGAAGCCGATCGACACATCAGCAAGAAAAAGCTTCGGCTTGGGCTGATTTGTACTCCATACGTCAATACACATGATCATGATCAGGTTGTTGATGTTTTAACTAAGGGTGTGAGCAAGACTAGCTTGCAAAATATGTTCGTCAAGCTGGGCATGATAGTTGCACCAGCTTGAGGGGGAGTGTTGTCAGGGGCTTATTTGTTGTTACTTATATAATGTTGGGGCTTATGTGTAATTTCTGAAACTTGTTATTATAAATAGAATATGGTGGAAGGATGAAAGTATTTTTTCATTCTTTCTCATTAGCTATGTTACATGGGACTCGGGTAAGTGTTTCAAATGTAGGTCTGTGTCCAAGTGTCAGATGTATCATATTTTTAAACAAAAGTACACAAAGACATTGCTAAAAACTCATTTTTTATTTAATATTTTCTTTTATTTGCCGGAGCTAAACAACATTTTTATGGAACATAGTGTTCAACATCAGCATTTCACTCGTTTTGAAACAATAATTTAATAAAATTAGAATTATTATATATATTTGTAGGTGCATATGCAACAAAATGTTTTGGACCAAACCCATACATTGCCTGGATTTCATGTGTCCTACACGTGTACTTCATGTAATTTTGAACAGTCCAAGTAACATGGCCCATAAAAAGAGTGTGCGTGTGATCTATCTATTTATTTAATCATCAGGAATTCTGTCTTTATCTCTCATAATCTCTTTGCGTATCCATAAATTGTGGTGTGAGTGAAGTTTTATCTGGAAAAAACTGCATTTTTGCAAATTGCTGCCACTATAATCTTTCGATTACTATTGTCCATATGCACAAAAAACGCGGCCAATCATCTAGATTCCTTTACAAATTATAGTATTCTGATAAAACAGTTGATTTTAGTCTATCCTATGGCGTCCTTTTCCTTCTTCCTCTTCCTTTTTTTTATCTTTCTTTCTTTTATCTTTTTTAATTGATATTTATGAGTCTTGTACTAAGTTGAAACAGATGGTAATTAAATTACAGTATCGATATGGAGAGAGGTGGTTGTCTAATATTATCTATAAGATTTGGACAAGCCTTTTCTTAGTTCTCTAGATTAGCCTATAGAGTATAGACTGATCTTGAGTTGTTAATAGCTGGATTATGATACACTTTCAAAGATCGTGCCTTGGGCAGCTTGAATCTTGTTTCTCTATAATGTTAGCAACACTATATTTTTTTTGTTCATGTAATGTCTTTCCATCTTATCTGAGAATCAGATAGACATCTTTTCTAAATTAGGAAATGGCTTGCTATATTATATTTCGCTGCGGTTGCTGGTAACTTGTAAAATTAATGCTTTTTCAATTTTTTTTTTTTTTGTAAACTAAACTGTTTAGAATTCTAACATGATAAAATATTTATGCATTTTTCACATGTATGTTGAAACTGAGATGTTTAGAATCCTAACATGATGATTTCTCTCTCTTTCCTTTTTTTTTTTTTTTTCGTCCTTTCATTAGTGTTTAAAGATGGAGGAAAAGAGGAGAAAAAGAAAAATCCAACTTCGTCAACCGTAAAATGCTACTTTGTTCGAATGGAGTCTATTGCTCCTTGTGATGAGGGGAAACCTTATGTTTTGTCTAACAAAACAGTTGATGAAGCAAGGTGTCTTTTCATGCATGCACACATGGTGTCCAGCATGGCTAAATATATGGCTAGGTTGGTACCACTAAGACCTACTTATTGGGTGCCCATTTCTGAGAATTTAGCACTCGCAAAGCTGAGAACAACTATGTTCTATTGGAATGCAGGTTTTCCCTGATTCTATCGAAAACTATAAAGCTTCAAGTTAATCTTTCTTCGGTGCATATTGAAAGGATTGAAGATATACCTTGCCGGGTATAATTTTTTCTTAATCTTTTTAATACAACAAATATTGACTCGTATGATCATCAACTGCTACTTCTCAATTTTTTTTTTTTTTTTTTTTTTCAAGCTAACCTACTGAATTGCAGGATGAAAATGGGCATGTTGTCTGCAATGAAGATGGAGAGCGTCTGATCCATACCGATGGAACTGGTTATATATCAGAAGATTTAGCATTGATGTGTCCCAAAGATTTTTACAAGGCAGAGTATATCAATTATGAAAATTTTGAGGTGCATTTTCATCACTGTTTTTCAGCTAAGCATATATTGTACTCGTAGCTACTTTTGTATTGAGATGCAGCATATGTATTATTTTGTGCTTTCAGTATTCGTATTTTGCTGTTTTGTTGATTTCCTTGGAATTATTCCTATTTGGTTGCTGATATTCTGTTCCCATGGCACACGTTGAACCTATGCTTTATGCTTCTGATATTTTTTTATTATTATATTTTTTTCTTTAGAGATTTCTTGAATGTGTCAACTCTGGGAACAGATCATTAGAATTGAGAGGAGAAGCTCGCAGTAGGGAACCGGTACATGTGTATTACTTTTTCTGGTTAATTGCCTTTTATTTTCTTAGAGATTTTAATTGTTGATGTTATTTCTGTTCATTATTATTGTTTCTGACATTTGTTTTCTCTCATTTTCATCTTCTTCTAGCCTTTGCTAACACAAGTACGTTTATTCAATAATGGTTGTGCCGTCAAGGGAACCCTTCTTGTCAATAGAAAGGTATAAATGCTTTTTTTTCTTCCCTTAATCTTTTATTATTGGCAACAAACATATTACATCCATTGTGATTGGTGCAATCAATGTACAAGTTTGTCTAGACCTGATTTGGCTTTAAACATACTCCCCTACTATACCCCAAAATTGCTGCATGGAGTAGGTTCTTCTATCCCTTACCAATATCCATGATGGTATGTCTTTTTTGTCCCATTCCTTTTTCTATTGGGAGATTAGAAATGATGAACGAGACAAAGATATAGACCAAATCATAAAACAACAAATAAACTAAATTTATGATCAAAAGTTTATCCAAATTAGAAAAAGGAAGAGAGGACCAAAAATATTGAAGTGAACCATATAAAGCAGAGAGGAGGGAGAGAGGCGGTGATGATGTAATGTTATAACCAAGGCTGTCAGGATCAGGATTCTATGTAGGATCGATGAGGGGTTCATAGGATCGGGATCGGATCGAGGATCGTAAAATTCTATGAAACTATTAAACAAGTAACTCAAATTAACTTTCTAAATCAAAATATCTTTGATATAAGTAGAGAATAAGGCTAAACAGCCAATATGAACAACATTCTTGAAAGTTCAATTAACATTAAAAGATACTAAGACACATGTACAAATTGGAAAAGGGAGAGAAACAAAGAGAGAATTGTGCAATCAGGCAACTGAGAAATTTAGTTGAAAATATTACTTTTTGGTTCCAAAAAAGAACAAAACAGAGATTAAAAAAAAAAAAACCACAAGTCTCTTTGTTTTTGTTTCTGAATGGGCAAAGAATAGGTGGGTAAATAGAGTTCTTTTTGTCTCTTATTCTGAAAAGGAAATAAGAAAAGAGAAATTAAGAATGATAAAGCAATATAGAGGATTTTTTTATAAAAATTTTTGAGTCATACCTTTGAAGTACAGAGCTACCTTTGATGTTGGGTCTCTGTTTTTCGTTTTTTACTGCAATTAGGCTATGTTTAGAAGCATTAAATTTCTTTGTCCAAAAGGATTGTAGGCCCAAATAAATCCATAAAAAGCACAAAACAACACGATTTAGTAGGATTGGTAGGATATGCTATTTGATTTTACAATCCTACTTCCGATTCTACCGATCCTGCAGCGATCCTACTTCCCAGTGAGTTGTCATGGGACTCGGATCAATTTAGCAATTTGGGATCATAAGATTCTACGATCCAGATCGGGATTTTAACAACCATGGTTTTGACACAATTGTGAGCTTAAATTGTGATGGCGTTGATGATGAAGTTGTGGGAGGGTGAGAGGTGAACTGGATGTAACAATATTTAATAATTCATGAAATGTAGGCCATTTAGGTTTTAAAAGTCAACTATGTGAAATTCTTTCTATGTCTTTTTTCTGAATAATGATAATACCACCATCATGGTCGGAACTTGACACGCACTATCTGAAAGTGGCGGATAGGATCGTAACAATAGGCTTTCATAGTCAGAGTACGCAAACACCCCATCTAGAACTAGAGGGGGTGAATAGGTCTTGAAATCTAAATAATTTACTTGAATCAAAATTTGAATTTCATCTATTCAATTAATTTTCTATCACAAGTATGTAAAAATAGATTGCGTAGAATAAAAAGCTTAAAATTATCCACACATGAAAGGTAAACTGCACTAGGTTACAAGACTCTGAATCCATATATCCTTTAGTACTTGTGGCTCTGACTCACTCCAAAAGCTATGTTACTGCCGGTTATTGAATTCTGCACCTCGCGATCTTCTCGTCAACCCATACTTGGATCTTCATGACTAGTCACGCCCGATTGCTTGTTTGTCGTGTGGAACTTGTTGGTTTGAAGTCCTTGAAGCTCTAGGATTCATATATTTCAACACTCATGAGCACTCACCATCTATATGATGATGAACAAGAGAAATATATAGTATAGCAATTGGATTTGGAAACTACTGTTTCACAACCATCCATTGATCGAACAGGTTCAAGAACTGGAATGTAGCTTAGTGAGCTTCGATTAATCCTCGATCGATCAAACTCCCGGTCCTAGTTCTATTAGGACTTTTGTTTTTCAAGAACACTTCAATGTATTCTTAAACACAACTTTAAAGACCAAAACATGCAATCTAGAAATTTTAAAATGATTGCATGCATATAACTATCTTGGTGAGTGCACAATATTGAGAGTTGCAATTGCATTTTTACCCTTGTTGAAGCTTTGGACTAGAGATAACTCAATTACTTAGTTTAATAATTTTTTGAACTGAACACAATTAAAAGTTAAAATTCAATATTACAGGTTCTGTTCTGTATAAAATTTGCCAACTAAAGTCCTGTTGACCTAACAGGAACTATTCATCAATGGGGGCATATGATATCCATTATTTACATTGCATCCCAAATTTGGGATTCAAAGGGATGGTAATGACATGTCGATTCAACCCTAGATCCTTCGAAGTAAACATCCACCAAAGTAAATATTTGTAGTATTTGTTTAATAAGCCGTTGTGTTGCTGTTAGTGGAGTCCTCTTTCTCAGCTTTAAATTATAGTTTAATTACTTGTCTATCTTTTTGCATGTTTCTTTTATTTGTTTGTTTTAATTTAATCTTGCATACTGATTTAAATCCTATATCTTAAATATTTTGTAGCTTCCACCTCGAACAATTCAAATTAGACCCTCAATGGTGAAGGTGGAGACAGATTCAAGACTTAAAACTTTACAAAATTTGAACTCATTGGAGATAGTTGGAGTAAGGTATCCTGCATGGCATGATTTTTTCCTTTCTGTAATTTGGGTGTTTTTTTAACTGTAGTTTTGTGAAATTAGCTGTTTGGTATTGATAACTAGTTAGAATGCTACTTACGTTGTAGAAAGGACTCTTTTGAAACCATAAAATATTGCTGTACTCAGAATATTGAACTGGCAAAATTTCATTTTAAGTGTGTTGGCAAATACTGTACCAAAAGGTACATAAAAAATTGAAGTAAATTTCATTACGAGCCTGGCTTTGTCAATTGGACTGCCAAAGATCAACCTTATTCAAATGAAGATTGGGGGATGGAGATGGACTTTTCCTGGATATTGGCACTGTTTTTTCATTTGGTTCAGTCAGACTTCAGGCAAGAGAGACCTAGAGGGTCTAGGGTTTTGGTTGGTTAAATAGATTGGACTACCTTGAGTATGGAGACCCAATATGATAAATGTTGGGTGTTTGAACACTTTCAGGGTTTAAAATATATTTAGCATTTGAAAACTAATGCATTTTACTCCAGAGACTAGTGCACCGTTACACATGAAAAGAGGCTCGTAGCTAAAGGTAGCTTCTCTCGCCCAAGAGGTGGGAAGAATTGAGAGCAAAGTGGCGAACGGGTGCATAATGCGTGGGAATCTGCCAAACAGTTCGGGCCAAATCCTGAAGAAAGAGTTGCAAAAGGCTTTTAGTTTCAAATTCCTAATCAAACTAGTAGTTGCCTAAATAGTTCAAACTCTTTAGAGATTACACATACATAGTATTATATACACTCTTTTAAAGACTATAACTATGTCGCTTTAGATTATTACGCAGGGGGTATTAATGGAGGCCACTTGCTCATATGGGGTGGACAGCTGAACCACATCTGAAATGGTTGGGAGGGTGGGAATTCTTCGAATGTGTTGGTTGACTTGGTTCCTTGGTGGAGGATGACCGGAGAGAGGTGTTGGCATTATATATGGTGAGGGATGTCTCCCTAAAGAAGTTTTTTTTTTTTCTGACCTCTTCAGTGTTGCTTCAAATTAAGGGGCTTTAGTTAAAGATTATGCCCGTGTTTCAGAGGTTGGTGTGATATGGGTGCCTGGGCTTTTGAAATGATTGCAGGATTGAGAGTTGGGACTTGGTGGATGCATTCTTAAGGCTCTCTATAGTTATTTCATTTGTGGAAATATAGATGATTTCTTTTGAGACGGACTCCTCTTTGGCATGGCAGTTTGGAGTTCTCTCTGTCTTTGTTTTGACTTCAGCATTCAAGGCATTTCTAGCAATAAATAACTTGGAAAGGAGGAAAAAACTTGTATCAAATTGGTGCTGCACTGTTACAGTAGCTAGCAATATTTGGGTGCAGTTGTTCCTTTGGTTTGGTGTCCAATGGATTATGCGTGACAGCCATACATTTTAGGATATAGAGCTCCCTGTTTGTCGAAAAGGAAAAACATTGTTGGATACTAGTTTTTATATATTTATTTATGTGCAATCCAAAATTCGTTACACTTATTTTGTTGACCGTTTAAGTGATTTGAATTTGTTAGCCGATATATGTTAGCCTAGAATCGTGGGATTTGACGGTGTAATTAGTGGGATTTGACCATGTAATTATTGTTATAATTGTTCAAACTGATGAGAGAGAGATCATGATGGCTATAGAAAATGTGTTTCTCATATGTATAAAACCCTAAGCCTACAATGGCTTATATAAAGATACAAGACTCAGCTAATTACACAATGGCCCTACCAACTATATGCAATTACATAATGACCCAAAATAGTCTAACACTCCCCCTTAAGCTGGAGAGTATATATCAAATAATCCCAGCTTGGAACAGATAGTCCTTAACCGATTATCACCCAATGCTTTGGTAAACATATCAGGTAATTGATCTTCAGACTTCACAAATGGAGTAGAGATGCTCCCACTTAATATTTTTTCTCGGATGAAGTGACAATCAACTTCAATATGTTTGGTCCTCTCAAGAAACACAGGATTTGATGCAATGTGAACAACTGCTTGATTATCACAGAACAATGGAGTAGGAGTTTCAACTGTCAACCCAAGTTCTTTTAGAAAATTTTGTATCCAAGTCAACTCACTGGTGGTATGGGCCATTGCCCTGTACTCAGCTTCAACACTAGATCGAGCTACCACCGTTTGCTTTTTACTTTTCCATGTTACAAGATTTCCTCCTACAAATGTGCAGTAGCCTGTAGTAGATCTCTTGTCTGAAGGAGAACCAACCCAGTCAGCATTTATAAAACCTTCCACCTTGAGATGACCATTTGATTTATATAGTAACCAAAAACCTGGAGCTTGCTTGAGACATCAGATAATCCGAAGAACAGCAACCCAATGTGGCATTCTAGGATCTCCTATGAACTGACTTACAACACTAACTGCATATGAAATTTCAGGTCGAGTGATAGTGAGATAAATTAATTTCCCAACAAGGCGACGAAATCTGTTCGGGTCATTAAATAGATCACCCTCATCAGACACAAGTTTTGTATTTGAATCTATAGGAGCATCAACTGGACGACCACCCAACATACCTGTTTCTTCTCATAAGTCCAACACATATTTGCGTTGAAATAAAATTATACCTTTCTTAGATCTAGCAACTTCAATGCCCAAGAAATACCTAAGTTTACCCAAGTCTTTAGTATGGAATCGATTTTACAGAAACAACTTCAACTTAGCAATGTCTTCAGAATCATCACCCGTGATCACAATATCATCCACATACACCACAAGAAAAATGAAGCCAGCTTTAGTGTGCTGGTGAAATAATGAATGATCGGTCTGGCATTTGTTAAGACCAAATTTTAACGCCACCTCAGAGAATTTTCCAAATAAAGCCCGTGGAGATTGTTTCAATCCATATAAGACCTTTTTAAGGCGACAAACAGTGTGACGATACTCCCCTGAGCAACAAACCCAGGTGGTTGCTCCATATAAACTTCTTCAACTAAGTCACCATGCAAGAAGGCATTCTTGACATCCAATTGAAACAACGGTCAGTTACAATTGGCAGCAATGGAAATAAGAACCCGAATAGAAGAAATCTTAGCAACAGGAGAAAAGGTCTCATCGTAGTCAATACCATAAATCTGAGTGTACCCTTTTGCCACCAGACGAGCCTTCAACCGCTCAATAGACCCATCATGAAGGTATTTAACAGTGTAGACCCACTTACAACCAACCGTTTTGGAGCTCGGAGGTAAGGGAACAAGATCCCAAGTCCGATTACGGTGAAGGGCATCCATTTCATCTACCATTGTTGTGCGCCAATTCGAATTAGAAAGAGCATTCTGCAAAGTCTTGGGAACAAAAGTAGCAGGCATTTTGGATAAAAAACAAGATAAAGAGGATGAAACATTATGGTAGGAGACAAAGTTAGAAATGGGATGTGCAGTAACACACGACCGAATACCCTTACGGAGAGCAAAAGGCAAATCATCAGGCAAAGTAGATGGTGTCGGATCCGAAGACTCTGAAGGAGATGGAGGGAGTGAAGTAGGCGGTCGAGGTCGTTGAGTATAAACCTACAAGGGGACAACGGAGCGAGGAGGTGTGGGAGCAGGAACTAGAGGGGGAACAGTTGGCATAGGTGGCTTAGTGAATCAGAAAAATATGGGAGAGACTCAGAAAAGGAGACATCAGCACTAGTGAAATAGCGCTGAAAATGAGGACTGTAGCAACGATAACCTTTCTGAGTGCGAGAATACCCAAGAAAAACACACTTAGTGGCACGGGGGTTGAGTTTGTCAAGACCGAGCCCAAGGTTATGGACATAACACACACATCCAAAGACCCGAGGAGTAAGATTAAACGATGCGGAGTTGGGAAATAGAACAGAATGAGGAGATTTCCCTTGTAACACAGACGAAGGCATCCGATTAATAAGATGACAGGCCATAAGAACAGCATCACTCCAAAAACGTTTGGGAACGTGCATATGGAATAAAAGGGCACGACATACTTCCAGGAGATGACGATTTTTACGTTCAGCTACTCCATTTTGTTAAGTATAAGTACAAGATGATTGATGAATGATGCCTGTAGCATGAAAATAAGTCTCAAAAGGGTCCGAGAAATATTCTTTGGCATTGTCAGAACGTAAAACTTTAATGGAACATACAAATTGAGTTTTTATTTCTTTGCGAAATATTTGAAAAATAGAGAATAACTCAGAACGATTTTTCATTAAAACCAACCAAGTCATACAAGAATGATCATCCACAAAAGTCACAAAATAACAAAATCCATTAATAGAAATATGTTTTATTGGGCCCTATACATCTGAATGAATTAACTGAAAATGACTAGCAACACGATTGGTAGCTCTCGGTTTGAAAGATACACGACAATGCTTACTAAACTGACATGCTTCACAAATCATGGACTCAACACGACTAAGACTAAGATTGGGGACTTGACGCTGCAAAACTGATAATGATGGATGGTCGAGATAACAGTGGCACTGGAAAGGAGACAAAGATGATTGAAGAGCCGTGGGAGATGGTAATAGATCAAAGTAATACAAGCCACCTACTTCATGTCCCATACCAATCTTCTTCATCGTCTTGAGATCCTGAAAAATACAACATGAGGGATAAAATGTAACGGAACAATTAAGAGATTTAGTAATTTGACTAACGGATATCAAATTAAAAGGGAATTGAGGAATATATAATACAGAGGAAAGGGACATAGAAGAGCTGAGTTGGGTGGTTCCCACACCCAAAACTTTAAGGGAGGAGCCATTAGCAAGAGACTTTGAGAGGAAGGAACAGACTGAAAAACAGATAAGAGATGAGAACTACTAGTCATGTGATCGGATGCGTCAGAGTTAAGAATCCAGGGACTCTGACGAGAGGATAAGTGACATGCAGGTGCACTACCTGATTGGGCAAAGGAAACCATGGAAGATGAGGTGGAAGGCCGTTGTTAAGACATAAACCGAGTATACTCATCGTGGGAAATTGTCATAGTGACCATAGCAGGCTCAACAGCCACTTGTGGAGCAGTTGGTGTGGCAGAGAAAGAAGAATCCCCTTCATTAGAGGTTACTTGATGTGCATAGGAAGAAGGTGGCGGTTTCCCATGAAGATCCCAACAGTACTTGACAGTGTGATTAGTATGACCATAGTGAGTGCAAAGTTTTGAGTCTCTGCCTCTGCCACGACCATGACCTCGACTACGAGTAAAACGACTGCCGCTGCCACGAGAAGGTTGATAACCACCTTGGTTCACAACTAATGCAAAACGTTCATTGCTAAGAGGAGCCGTGACACCACTTGAAGCACTTCCGGAAGCGCCACTAGATAGAGTAGCACGCTGGAGTCTGGAGAACATATCAGGAAGAGAAGGAAGTGCAGGGCTACCCAAAATCTGTGCACGAACAGATTCATATTCGGGTGACAAGAGAAACCGAACAACATTAAAATCCTCACGTTGTTGTGCATGCTCTTCACATCAAAGGTCGAACGGGGCGGATCTTGTCAAACAGGTTTGGATCTGGGCAAACCCTAGCCCTTGCAGCGGTGACGGCAACCCAACACAAGCAGCGATCTAACAACCGAGCAGAGAGGGTTCGCGATGATGGAACCTCTGCAACTTGCGACAGCCAAGGCAGCCTCGGCCAACAAAACGAAGGGCTTCAGATCTGAGAACGACAAACAAGAAGCGCTGAACACAACGACAACTTCAAACCTCCGGCGAAGAACAGAATCGACTTCAATCTCGATTTTGATTTGTAGAAGAACACCACAGATGCAATCACAACCACAATCTTAGTTTCCCATTGTTTCGTACCGCTCTGATACCATGTTCAAACTGATGAGAGAGAGAGAGAGAGAGAGAGAGAGATATCATGGTGGCTACAGAAAATGTGTTTCTCATATGTATAAAACCCTAAGCCTACAGCGGCTTATATAAAGATACAAGACTCAGCTAATTACACAATGACCCTACCAACTATATGCAATTACATAATGACCCAAAATATTCTAACAATAATTAATGGGTTTAATTAGTGAGATTTGACCATGTAATTATCGTGAATTACATTCTTGACTAATATAAATAAATTGGTGTAGGGATGTTAGAAAAATAACTCTTTCTTACAAATCTCATTCAAGCCTTTACATTTATATCTTGTATGCCTTCTATCTTGTATTTCTTCTGAATTATATCAAGAGAGTCTAGTCTTTAAGTCCTGAATATTCCAATTGTTCATTGTCTGCGCCCCTTCTGGCACTTTATTCAGAATAGAGTTTCATTACACTTAAAAAATTGCATCTGATAGTATTTAAAAAATTGGATCTGATAGTATTTGACTATATTACTTTACTTTTATTGTCAGAAATACCCTAAGATCTTTATTTATCTTGCCTTTTGGTTTCTGTTCATAAGGGCGATACTTCCAACTTCTATTGTTCATCTTGCAGTCATCAACCGAGAAAAACATTTCTGTCTAGGAATTTGATAGCTCTACTTAGCTATGGTGGAGTTCCAAAAGAGTATTTTTTGGATATACTGATGAATGCTCTGGAAGATTCCCAGAGTGTTTACTCCAACAAGCGTGCAGCGCTACGAGGTAATTTTCACAATCAAACTTTTTACTGTAACACTTTTTATTTTACCTTTTTTTCCCCCTTTGTGAGACATTATGATGTAATTGTTTGGTTATGTTGACATTGAGTCATTTGCTTAATTTTCAATGGACTGAAAATATTAGTTATTTCATTTTCTTTTGTTTTCTTTCTCTTCTTTAATGACTATTCATCCTGACTACCCATTGACTTTAAAATGTAAACAACACATTGACCTTGGATATTTCCTTTTTCCGTTCAAAATTTTTTTTTTATTTTCCGTTCCAACTTATTCTTACTCTTTTTTAAGTGGCTAATTTTAAATGTGCTTCTTCATGCAGTTGCCGTGAACCACGGAGAAATTGATGATGATTACACTACATCGAAAATGATCCTTTCTGGAATTCCTCTGAACGAACCATGTTTGAATTATCGGTTATCCATTCTGGCAAAGAATGAAAGAAAGGCACTAAAAGGAGGAAAGCTGCCTGTTAGTGAAAGCTTCTATTTAATGGGCACAGTTGATCCCACTGGAGTTTTAAAAAGGGACGAAGTTTGTGTCATTCTGTACGTGTATTAATTATCATGATGTTTCTAATATTAAAATACCCTGATTTTTGTTGTTGTTGAACTGACTTAATGATCATAGGAAGGCAAGATTAAATCCAAAATCCAATATCCAATCGCTATATTTTATCAAATGATTTTATCACTGAATCTCTATGGAGATTGAAAATATTGACATAGGAACTGCATTACTATCAATAAAGTTCTTTATTTGATTAGGTTAAAATTGAAACCTGCTCTAATGAAATATGCAGTGACAACGGTCAAATTACGCACAAGGTTCTGGTGTACAGGAATCCTGGGCTTCACTTTGGAGACATACATGTTCTAAATGCAGTTCATGTGAAGGCCTTGGAAGAAGTTGTTGGAAATGCGAAATATGCTATATTCTTCTCGTCCAAAGGCGAGAGATCTATAGCAAATGAAATGGCAAATGGTGATTTTGATGGAGACATGTACTGGGTCTCTCTAAACCCTCAGGTGACGTCCATGTTCTCTTTTTCCTCCTTCAAAGTGACCACATCAACAATACACTTTCCTTTCAAATCTAGTTTTTAATTGAGATATCTGTTGTTTAAAATGTCTGTTTTGAAAAACTTTAAGTGGGTGGCACACATCTGTACATAATGAAAGAGGGAAAAGCACACGCACTACATGCATTAACATTTTAAGTGGCTGCCTTGAGTGGGAGAAGGGGAGGCTCTTGATGAGTTAGTTTAGGCTTTCAAAGTCTTTATCCCTAATTTCTTACAAAATTGTAATATCATTGGGTTATTATCCTTGGAATTATTAATCAATTACATGAATTTACTAGTGTTGTTGTTTCTTTGAACTCATTTCTTCACGTTCTTATAGTAATAAGATTTTTTCCTTTTCTCACGAGCTTTCTTATCCAAGGAGTCAATGACAATGTACAAATTCAAAACTTGTCTCATACAGTGATTGTGGGATATTTTGGTCATTAAATAACTCAAAAAGTCTATCTTTACTCCTATAAAATTGTGGGAGTTGAGTAAGCTTATACTGATATGATAATGATGGATCCTAGGATATCCCCAAGTCATCTCAGGATGGAGAAGAAACCTGTGTTTGGAGCAATATCTCCTTAATTTGTGGACTGACCCGAGAAAGCCTCTGGTGTAGACTGTGACATAAATATTTAAATTTATGCAGTATTTGATTGGCGTTCTGGTGGGTTATGGTTTTGAAAAACTTATGTGATTAGAGGTTTGAAATGGGGGAAGCATTGCTGTTTAAATGTGAGTTTGTGGAAACTTTATGTTATCTTTTTAGAAAAAGAGTCATATTTTTCTAGTGTGGAGTGGTATTCAAAGTTTCAAGTTAGAGGCCATGTTGCTGGGGAAATAATTAGAATTATGGAATTAAACAAATAAAGCTTTGGGTTGACTTATAAAGAAAACATCAAATTTGATTGCAAATATATGGAGGAAGAAGAGAGATTCTCTTAAGTATCTGGGCCAGATTCCTCAAGCTTCATCTCCTAAGTTTGAGGTTGTTGCATCACTCATGCATTCACCTCCTCATTTAAGAGCTGCTGGAGATTTCTCCAGGCTAACAGTTGGTGGTCAATTCTGATACCTTCATTTTGTTGAACTCATGAAACTAAGATATTTATAAGGTGCTTGACTTCGTCTAATAGAATGACACCAAAATAGGAAATTCTCACTTTTGACTACTAAGACCATTCAAGACTGATTATGGGCCACATATAAAGATCTAATAGGTAAACCCAGGGTGTATTCATGAACCACAACTATGAGTTCAGTGAATCTTGAAAAAATCAAAATACGATTGAGTTCTTAAACGCATGGGAACATGGGCAAAACTATGTGCCAGTGATATACTAGCCTATAGTTTAGAACTACTCAGCCCAAAATTGATTACATGATGTCTCAAGTGGGCCCCAACTGGATTTCCAAATAGCCCTTTTTCTTGTTGCATTTTATGTATCCACTCAGTTAGTCGTGGTTGTTTGAACTTTGAACCTAATAGAGTAACCCTGATCTCCAAACTTTTAGAAGCACTTAAATGTTAAAAGTTTGGTATTTTTTGTGAATCTTTGTGCACCACGTTATATTTGAGGTTTTATATATATTTCGTACTTGCCAGAATGATTGTGTTGCTTTCCACTTTGTTTGTTCCACAAGGGCTTTTATATATAGTTCCTACGTGCCAGAATGATTGTGTTGCTTACCACTTCTGTTTGTTGCCAGAATGATTGTGTTGATTACCACTTCTGTTTGTTCCATAAGGTGTCTATCATAAAAAGGTCAAAGCATAAAATTTTCAGTTTCCCATAATATCCTAAAAAATGGGTAAATTACATTCAGCCTCTTTTTACGTAGTGTCATTTTTTTTCCTTTTTGTTCTATTTGGTCTTCCTGAGTCTTATATTGTATTTGTGGTGTTATTTTTTTTTTAAAATGGAAAGCTCATATTAATTTTTTTGCTTTAGAATTTATATAATTTAAAATGTCCAAGATTGAAGAATTCTTGGTGTACTGTTCAGCTGTTGAATTCTTTCAAAGCTAGCACATGTTGGACACGCATCCATTCAACACCAAGTGCATCCACTAAAAAGCCCAGTGATTACTCAGCTGAGGAATTGGAACGTGAACTTTTTCAGTTATTTCTATCAACGAGGTTTCAAAGAAGGTATGCACTTGAACTGTGTAAACCTGACACATCTTGGTTATATGTTAGAAAGACAGCTTTATTCTTTTCTTTGCAATAAGTGGAAAAGTATATAGCTGTGATTGCCATGAGTCGATGTACCAGTATTCTATGTTTGAGCTATTAATTGCGTCAAGTTATCTCATTTTATTACTAAATCAGGCTTTTAAATGTTTTAAGGAGCTCATTAGAGGAGAATAATCTTTTTCTTTTTTTTTTTTTTAAATATATTCTGAAATTTGATTGTTAAACGTCAAATCACAACATTGTAAAAAAATTTCTTGGGGTGTTTTGAATTTCCATTTTTAGAATTCTGTTCGTCTTCTGTACGTGTCACAGCTAACAAAAATAGTGGGTTTGAAGTGATTCTCTTTTCTTAAATTAATGCTATTGAATTCAGTGGAAAAAGAAATGTAGAATTCATTCCTTCAATAATGGACATTTGATTTTCATTTGCAAAGTTGCAAACTACCAATCAATACTATTGGGCCATTTATCTGCTGTCATTTGTGTTCACCTGCTAACAAAACCTAGTCACTATTACCTATATATTGCTCGCTAGATGGTGACAAGAAGCTGATGTTATGCTTCAGAGATATGTGACAGTAGGAAAGGTTAAATTAAAATACATTGTGAACTCCTACTTGGGCTGTCACCTCCTCTGCCAGGAGAATAATAAGTTACTTGTTCAAGGTTCATGTTTGTATAGGCCTCTTAAGCACACTTGTATCCTTGAATTATTATATGGAAGTTTTTCATTAAAGATTTATTAATGCTGCTAATATTTTAGTTTCTGCTGTCCCAGTTACAATATGAGTGTAGCAGCCGATAGTTGGCTCTCATTTATGGACCAGCTTCTGATATCTGGAGAAGCCTCTGCCGATGAGAAGGATTGTATGCCAAAAGATATGCTTAAGTTGATTGATATATATTACGATGCTTTAGATGCACCAAAAAGTGGAAAGAAGGTTAGTTTGAAACTTGTTTCTTTTCACACTAACATTTAGGATTTAGGTATGTTAATTGATCTCTCACTACTGTTTTACTTTTCTAAGTTCTTTTCTTAATTTTATCATTTTTGCTTTTACTCTGCATTACTTTTAGCAATTCTTTGTGCATCTTGCCTAGTCAGGTTGAAGTACTTCAAGTCGTATCCTTTGATCTTGAGATGTCTATGGATTTCAAGGCTCAGGCTGTTGTGATAGATAGATCAGGTTACTGTCATTCAGTCACCAACTCCCTGACGAAAATGGTTCTTATGAGAATTTGTTTATGGTAATCACAATCAAATGATGAAGGGTTCACGAGTTAATGTTTAAGGCATTAACATTTTGGTGATTTTGTTGGTGCTGTAAATACCAGTTCTGCCATCTCTATCAGCTTTAGTGTTTAGACAGTTGGCTATGCACCATAGGAGGGTCCTGTTTCCGAATCGCAACACCTCCCTAACAATTATAAGAAAAGAAATTCACATGCTTGGGTCACTCATGAGAATCTGGCCATATGTTGATGATTTTAGATATATAAGTTTAAGCTTCAGAGTAACAGATTGACATTAGATGTCTAAATAACCTGAGGCACAGTACCAAAGTGGGAAAGGTCTTATACGTGAAGTTCTGCACCTCCTGATGGGTAGTGTGGAGCCTGATAAATACTATACACTAAGGCCCCAACTTCGCATATATTTTGGTATTTTGGGAATTTTCACACTTGCTATGTTGCCCTAGTGTGAGGGTATTTGTTCATTCTGAACTCTCTGTATATGTGTGCCGTTTTTTAGAACATGGTAAAATCCCTGCAACTCTCGGACATAGCCCTAGATTTTGGGTGAACCAAGTAAATATCTGCGTGTTCTTGTTGTGTGTGTTTGATCTGGTTTTCCTCGTGTTTTCTGTTTAATTTCTCAACACCTCCCTAATAATTATATTACATGCAAATGCTTGGCTTTTGTATGGAGGAGGTTTAGGCCACAAGTAAGGAAGCCTGTTGATGATAGTCTAAACACCTAAATTAAACATTTTTATAAACATGAGCTTTTAGAGTATTCTATTAATAGAACTGATACATAAGTGATTCAGGCATCTCTTAAACTCCATGTCCACAGAAGTTTAGTGGACCTTGAGGTTTGTTTCATACTTTTGATGGCTTCCATGTTTGCATCCAATTCGCTGTGAAAACTGTAGCCAGTATAAGCATATTATCCGATGTAGAAGCCTTGTTAGACCAAACCATTAGTAAGGAGGTCATTCTCATTTGGAGGAAGCTCTATTATGCCATTGCATTGCTGCATTATGAAAATTCAACTTATTTGTGTTAGAGAATGCACAAGCAAATAATATACATGCTACGGGACATAATCTGCAGAGCCCTCAAATGTCTCATGAAGGTAATTATGTAGTCACATGTAAAAAAAGGTAATGAGCGTAACTTTTTTCTTTGTCAGGTATTCAATTCTTCTACATGGTTTTGAACATTCATTTTCATTCATGATTTTTCCACTTCATGACCGGTCAAAAATTTTTCCACTTCATGACCGGTCAAAAATTTTTCCAACCCAAAATTTCAAAAGAGTGGTTGCTTGTTCTTGGTATTTCAATTCTAACCTTCCTGAGAAAGGTTTCCACTTCTGTTGTGCAACCAACAATACATTTCTTTGCTCTTGACAAGAATAGACTCAAGACTGTGCTGCCTTCGTCCAACTGCATTGCATCTGTCTGCTGCTTTGGTCTCATGATTTTGAGCCCCAAAGATAAATAGTAGAAGAACATGATATGAGGACTGGTTCAATGAGCAAAAACTGCCACTGGTCTTTTCTGGCGGAAAAGAGAGATGCTTGTGGGTTGCGTATCAACTAATAGAATAAGTTTACTCTTAATCCACAATGACAATCAAACAAATAGGTGTTTGATTGCTGCATGGTGGAAGGGATGAGGGGGACCGAGTGCAGCTTTCTTGTTTATGTCATACGGCAGAAAAGAAAATACCTTTTTTTTTTTTTTTTTTTTTTTTTTAACATGCATACGTGATGTGCTATTTGTGTGTTACTAGTTATTATTTTCTTATTCAATTTTTCTTTTCCCCTTTTCATGGCGAAATTATACAAGATTGCCTTCAATTTTGCTTTGATCTTGAAATTGTTAATTCTTACTTCCTTCCGAAACAGGTGGAAGTTCCAAAGAAACTAAGGGCGAAAAAATATCCACATTATATGGAAAAGAAGGATAGTTACCAGTCTACTTCTGTTTTGGGGATTCTTTTTGATACTGTAAATACATATCTTCAAATTGAAGATCCGTTACTGAAGGGTGATATTTCCCTCAATCACTCTCACAGCTATATTTATTTCTCTACGAGCTATCCACCCAAATTAGAATTGACTACAATTTTGTTTGTGCTATGTAGAAGTCACAAAACTACCTTGTTTCGATGTTGAAATCCCGGAGGCCTGCTTGAAGAAATGGAAGGAGAGGTATAATGACTACAGAATTGATATGACAAAGGCCTTGCAATCTGGCCATGAATCGAAAAATGATTGTGCAAATCAAGTGATTAAGAAATACAAGCAGGTGATCCATTGACACAACTAAAAGGACTAATCCCTTTTGTCATGAACAACCCAACTGTACCCATCAACTGCTTGATTGATTAAACGTTTTATAATGCAGATGTTATACGGTGCCGATGAGTTTGAAGAGAGCGAGAGGAAGGTGGAGGAGATCTACAACGACGCCCTTGCAATTTATCATGTTACCTATGACCATGCAATTACCCAACGCGCAGTTAAATATTGCAACTTTGCATGGAAAGTCGCTGGTACTGTCCTCTGCAGGTTTTATGCCCACAAACTAGATGAGAAGTCCATACTCTGTTCACCATCTGTTTTGAAAGAGGTCCTAAATTAGGGAGCTCGTGTTTATTATATATATGTGTGTGTGTAAATATCCGTTGTATAGAAATGTATCAAGTTTTGTAGTTGTGCTATATGCAAAATGTAATATGTGGTATATTTATTGTCGTGTAATGTGTACTATGTTTTTATTGTATTAGATTCAATTTCAATCAATACTCTCACTATTTTTGTTATTTTGATAATTAAATATTAAGTTTAATTATAAAAAAAATTTATTTTGATATATATACTTATTAAATTTTATCTTTGTCCTCCTGAAATTATATTAAAAATTCAATATTACCCCACACGAGTTTCTGGGTAATACGGTTAACTATTTAACTAATTAGTGAGTTTGTACAAAGTTTATCCTCCCCAAAGTGGGTCTATTTAGCAGCAAGTTACAAGGATAATTTGAGAGAAAAAATATAATAATATATGTCTGGTACGACTCTGTTTTTGTTGTATTACACCAGAAGAGCTTACAAATTTCGCCTTCATCTTCACTTTCTCGTGTTGCGACTTTTTTAGACTGATTTTCAAAGGCATTATGGTTAATAAATAAATTAAAAAGGATAGAATAAAGGGTTGCAAATTCTTGGCTTAAACGGGCGTGTATATATATATTTATATTCTATGTCTCACTTATTTATGTCTCACTTACAGTATGGATGACTATGTGTGAGATAACTAGAAAAGGAGACTAAAAACAGGTGTCCTCTGTATTGCATGTGTAAGAATTTTCACTAACAGGTGTCGTTCACAAAACAGTCGTGTATAACAAGCAGCTGTTTTTATTTTACTCTGTTACATTCAATGTATGGGTCAACCGGGACGGACTATTATTAATGTTTGCATTAGACTTTATAGAAATTTGGGTTTTGCAATGGCGAGTAAGTTGAAGAACATGGGCACCAACACCACCGTAGGCGGTGGCGTTCAGGACGTGTACGGTGAGGATCGTGCAACGGAGGACCAGCTCGTCACCCCCTGGACCGTGTCCGTTGCCAGGTTTGATCACTTCCCTTCATTGTTTGTTCATTTCAATGATTGTTGGTTTTTATTTGCTGTAATTTTGTGCTTGTACTTAGGAAAATGATTCAACAATCTTATTGTCTAGTGATTTAAATTTTGTGGACTTCCAAGTTTTTTCTATTACATGCGGGGGTGTCTAATTTGCCATGTAATTTTTTCTTTTTCTTTATGTGATTGTGTTGCTCTATTATCTTCCGTTCAGAGCTTTTGGTCTTCTTTTCATATTTTGTGTTTGTTTCTCTTTTTATTTTTGAAACATTACATGCATTTATGTTATTTTTTATTTTTAATACCTGACTAGTGTTGCCTTCTGCTAGTTAAAGATTTCTTTACCCAATTTCTCATTTTGTGGTCTGTCTTCTGATTTGTTTGAAATCCCTTTTGCATACTGATCTGGCTTTAATGATTTTTAGCTCAGTTGAAACTTATGATACAGAAATTTTGTAGGGACTATATCATTTATGTATGTTCTGTGTGCATGCTGGAACTGTTGGTCACTGTAATGGTATTACATAAATAATTTATCATTTTCTTTTTGGGCGTTTGATTGTGTGCTGCAGTGGGTATTCTTTGTTGAGAGATCCACACCACAAAAGGGGCTTGCATTTACTGAGAAAGAAAGAGATGTTCACTACTTGCATGGCCTGCTGCCTCCAGCGGTTATAACTCAACAGCTTCAGGTTAGTGACATCAACTGAGCTTTCGGATCCTTTTATTTGCCACTAGCGCTCATTATTCTTCTTGTACTTTTCCAATTTGACTCCTCAGGGGAAGAAATTGTTGCATAATATTCGCCGATATCAAGTTCCATTGCAGAGGTACATGGCCCTGATGGACCTTCAGGTATCTCGTCAACCTATATCAATTCTCAATTGTTGATTTAATGTTGAATGTAATATATGTGAAAACATTCCATTTAGATACGTGTGGTGTCTGGGTTAGGTGGATTTTGTTTTAAATAGGATTTGGAATGATAATTAACTTGCATATTTAGGATTGTTTTTGAGATTTTGGGACACCCTTTGTTATCAGTTTTCATGACACTTATGAATCTCCTTTTCTGATTTAATAACTCAAGGTTGGACTTGTGCATTAAAACAGTGGGGAAAGGGAAAAAACAAAAGAATGATTTCATTTTATGTAGTGTTTGAAAGAGTGCCCAAATGAAAGGGAATATATGTTAATTCTGCTTAATATTTTTGTTCTGTTGATCTTTTGGGTTTACAGGAGAGGAATGAGAGGCTGTTTTACAAACTTCTGATTGATAATGTTGAGGAACTCCTCCCAATTGTTTACACTCCTACTGTTGGTGAGGCTTGCCAGAAATATGGGTCCATTTTTAGGCGGCCTCAGGGTTTTTTCATAAGTTTGAAAGAAAAGTAAGACTGTTTGTTTCAGCTCTATTTATTAGGTTAAGAGTAATTTCACCTTAACATAGGGAGTATCTGATTGTGGTAGGGGAAGGATTCTTGAGGTATTGAAAAACTGGCCTGAGAGGAGCATTCAAGTTATTGTTGTGACTGATGGTGAGCGAATTTTGGGACTTGGGGATCTTGGCTGCCAGGTAAAGAAGCATTTTCTTTCATTTTATTCTATTAATAGTTTAAATGTCAAATTCACAGATTTGTATATAAAACCAGAACAGGGAAGTCTCAGTATGGGGAGTCTCTGTATGACGATGTTTTAGCTCTTATTAGGGGATGGGCATACCTGTTGGGAAACTAGCTTTGTATACTGCACTCGGAGGACTCAGACCTTCAAAGGTAAGCATCTCCAACTATGAAACTGTCATTTTTTGCTTGATGCTACACAGCACATTCTCAGTAGATGCTTGCTCAAGTCCCTTGTGTTTTTAGTACCCATGCTATATGCAGTTTAGTTGTGAGCTTGACCAGAGCTGTAGAATACGATGTGTGATTAGGTTTAAAATATTGTTTCCTTTTTCCAATTATAATCTGGATTTTTCAATTGAGTCAGCAGTGTTTGCCCATAACCATTGATGTTGGGACAAACAACGAGCAGCTGTTGAAGGATGACTTCTACATTGGGCTTAGACAAAGGAGGGCAACTGGGAAGGTATGAAGATTTAGTATTCTCTGTGCTCAAGTATAGGAAGGAAAGTTTATAGAGTTATTTTTCAATTATGTAACTCTTTAATGATATGGCTATCTTAACAAATTGTTCTTCAGGAATATGCTGACCTTCTTCATGAGTTCATGACTGTGGTCAAGCAGAACTATGGTGAAAAAGTTCTTATACAGGTTGGTATTAAAATTTACATCCTCAATTTGAAGGTTTTTCTAGACCTTGAACTTGTTTATGGGATCCTAATGTTGGTTAGATTCTTTAACCTGAACCCTACAGTTTGAAGATTTCGCAAACCACAATGCCGTCGTTCTGCTAGCAAAATATGGCACCACTCATTTGGTTTTCAATGATGATATACAGGTACGTGGTAACTGCTAACATAGTGGCGGTATCAGGCCCCTGGTGGAATCTTCTGGTCTTGTCTTATTCGTTAACTTCCTTTGTTGCAGGGGACAGCAGCTGTGGTTCTCGCAGGGCTTGTTGCAGCACTCAAGTTAATTGGCCGTTCCTTAGCTGAGAACACATTTTTGTTCCTAGGTGCTGGGGAAGTGAGATTCTAATCTCTGCCTTATTTGATCTCCTTTAATTTTAGCACCATGGGTAGATTGATATGGTAAGGTAACAACTGAATAAATAATGCAACCAATACTTACACAGTGAAAAGATGAACTACAACTTTCTAATAACTCTGGTACGTATTTTGTTTTATGTACTCCTGTGCATTAATACCATCTATTTACTCATACATGTTTAAGGGCTATTTTGATTTGCATTTTATCCTTCCAATTCTAAGCGTAAACAGCTATATATATAAAAAAAGAATCTTGACTTCATGCAATTTGAAAGAACCTGAAAGTGGAGAAGACTTCCCCAAGACATTCACCGATGGAATTGCTTTAATCACTTAAATGTAATGAAAAAGAAGGTATACCCTAGTTCTGAAAGAAAAGGGGGCAGTAAGGGCCGCTGTTCGAGCATTCTCAAGGTAATAATCTTGTATGTAAGAGTCAGATCGTGGAGCTTTGGGAAGAAAGAAGGAAAAAGAAACCGTGAATGTTTTGTGTTTTCAATCAGTGGGGCTATTTTGCTTTGCATTTTATCATTCAAATTCTAAGCTTAAACAGCTATATACATATATGTATATACATATATGTATATACATATATGTATATATATATATATATATATATATATATACATATATATATATATATATATTATTTTAAAAAAATGAAAGAAAAGGAAAAGTAAACCGATCAAGGTTTTTGTTTTCATTCAGTTTTCCCTTAGATATCATTTTTTTTTCCCATGGTTTTTCAACTTTTTTGTTGGGAATGTCAACTTTTCTAAATCTTTTTGTCTCATCTCACTTCACACTGGAAGAGACCCGAAAGAAGATATGGCTTGTGGACTCAAAGGTAATAAAATCCCTGATCAACCTTTATTGCTAAACAATGAATATTTTCCCTGTGACAGCTATTTCTCTTCTTTAGTTTTTGTCTCTGCATCAAGAAGAGTATATAAATTCTCTTGCAGTGACTAATTGTCAGTTCCCGTAAGGAATCCCTTCAGCACTTCAAGAAGCCTTGGGCTCATGAACAAGAAAACATTACGGATCTCTTAGATGCTGTCAAGGTTTGATGAATTTTTACCAAGTGCTTGTTCCTAATTCAGAAGGTGGTTTTTAGTGAACCTTGGTCTCTTTCAATTTCAAACTTCATCAGGCTATCAAGCCAACAGTCCTAATTGGATCATCTGGAATTGGAAGGGCATTTACAAAGGAAGTGATAGAAGCCATGGCCTCCTTCAATGAGGTATACTAATTTTATATATCTATTTATTTATACCTCCACAACATTATTTCGGCCTATGAGTAAGTTGTTTGTAAATGAATGACATGCAGAAACCTCTCATTATGGGTCTCTCCAACCCAACCGAGAAATCTGAGTGTACAGCTGAAGAAGCCTGCACTTGGAGTAAGGTAAAATGAGAATTTTGTTTCTTATCTCATATTTTCATGCTGCTGAATACTTCAGGTATGGTTATACATA